GGCATGGAGCCAAGATTCCTCCTGCTTCTGCTCTTCTGTTTTTTAGGTAAGAGAATGGGTGAGGCAGTACAAGAGGCAAGGGGAGCTCAGGTACAGTGTTTCTCTTGCATTTGCCTAAGGTCCTGTACAATGCAGGCCATTCCAGCATTAGGAAAGGAATTTTCTTAAAGTTTCTACCACCAAAGCCAGTTTCTTTTCAGACAGAGAAATTCTCTGCACTGCTATGAAAGGAGATGGGCCAGCTCCGGTTCCTATTACTTGGAGATTCCGGCTTCTCCAGGACCATAAGCCAAGTCACTCTGGGCACAGTTTCCTCTTCAAAAACAGGTGTAAGTGTGTCATGCAAACACATCCCCTGGCACTGCCTGGCCCAGCTCCACCACTCCCTGAAAGGACCATGTGGTCACTGGCTCAAGGGACAGCTGTCCTGGCAGCAATTCCTTCTCTGCATGTGCAATATTTAATAGAAATCACAGCTACTTAAGGACAGGCTAAATCTGTGTGAATCAAGATAGGAAGGCCTTAAAGCATTTGTTTCATGGCTGTTAAATGCCTCTTAGGAGTTGATTATTAAGATGCAGAATCCCAGGTACTGAGGCATACCAGACTAAGTGCACAGAGCAATGTACCTTTGATGCAGCACAAAAAGCAACTCTGAAGGGAAGGATCCCTCTGAAAGGCTCTGTCAAGGAAAAGGAGAGTCTTTGGGAGGCAGCAAAGAAGCAAATGTACATAAAAGACTTGCTAATAATTTTGGAACTGGGATCATCCAAATGACAGCAGTGTAATACTATTTCAGCAGCCCCCAGAAATGACTAGCACAGATTTACCATCACACACAACTGACAGAGTCTTCTGTTTCTGCACCAAACCTTTTATATCCTCAGTCTTTTGAAGCCTCCGCAGAGCCAGCTCAGGGCTGTTAACTATTCCATAGAGGGAATATAATTCCATATATATTTGTGCTCACTGTATCTCTAGACACAAAGCTTGAATAGGTATGAAAAGATCTGTCCCTGAGCACAGTACTAAGCTGTAACCAAAGCTGGAGAATCTCCTCATCTTTTGACAACCACAGTTTCCTGCCTGATCCCTCCCTTTCTCTTGAGTACACACACTGAACCCACCAGCCATCACAAGAACTTGTGCAGAACTACAGTGGAGCTGGCACCGAGCCACACAGCACAATTTCTTCATTTTTTAAGGAACTGTTTCTGACTCATGCTCAAGCAGGACAGACTAAAACCAAGGAATTCCCCAACACTACAACACAAAGAACAGTTTCTACACCAGATCTTCACAGACAGTCAGTGATCTTTGGTTGAGGAAAACTATACTTTAGTGCAAATTTGTGATTTTTAACCCCAAAATATATTCATTTTCTGTGAAAGATCAAATTTTTTACTTAAATTCGTGTTATCCTTTACAATACAGTATAAAATGAATTTGGAATAAGGAAAAGACCCCATTTTCCTATTAGCAATGCAGAGGGATGCTGAGATACAACATTCCTTCTCTTCTCTTTCAGTGGAGAGCGCTAAATTCTGGAAATTTTGAAAATATGGCTATAAGTCTGTCCTCCCCATATGGCACATCACAGCCTCCTGAACAGGACAATGTTCATAAGCTGGCACTGAAACAACAGCATTCCCTCTGCCAGCCTGGCACTTTATCCTCTTGCACAACTCGTGACACTGCATGGGGCATGGACAGACCCACATCACGAGAAACACTGCAGAACTGGCTTCTGCAAATGCTCCGCTGCCTGCGCTCTTGCAGTCCTTTTCCGTACCCTTGTTCTGTCTTATTTACTGCAAGGTTTGTACTGATAAACAGGCAGAGAGCACAAAAATAATGGCTATAAAAACTATGCATGTGACAACCATGAAACCTGGGGGAAACATCTGAATGTTTCCCAGACTCCCCTTCTCCCTAAACTTTTGTTACGTTATTGCTAGATCACACACTCCTGGGACCAAGAATTCAAACCACATGCTATTAAAATTTGTTACATTAGTCTCCTTCTCAATTTCTGTGAAAAAAGGACAAGTTATTTTAAGGCTTACCTCAACTTCATGTTCTTTAAAATATTTTTACAAGAGGCTTCCTCCCCGCCCCCCCAAAACCACAACCTGAGGTAAGCAGTCTAAGAATTTACTCAGCAACTCCTAGCTTGCTAGATTCTCCCACAAAGTCTGAAAAAGGCAATAACTTCCTCTACCTGAGGTTTTATACTAACGCATTTGATAATGGGCTGAGGCTGCTCAGCTGTGGACACCGCTGGTTTCTCCCAGCTGTGCTGTGATGGTGGTAACAGGAAAGGAGAGATAGAGCGCTTGTATTTTAAAATTGCTACTACACCTAAATCCAGCAGCTTTTTCCTGTCAGAACTTGGGACACTGTGGGGAAATAAGTTGTTATGGGAGAGACAGAGAGAGCAGGTGGTGTGTGAGGTACATAGGACTGAGGTCCCAGCTGAAGCCAGGATCTGGATTTCACCTGCAAAGACTTTATCCCATAGTGGATATGTCATTCATGGAAGATGTATCATCATGACTCTTAGCTGGGATTTATACTGTGGTCCTTATGTTCTGTTCTATGGCCTGAAACCACTCTGCTACGGAGCTGAAGAGTCTCTCTGCTGTATGTTCCTATAAAGTCCAGAACTACAACGCTACAAGGAAAGCCTGGTGCTGAAGGAAAGATAAAGATAGATGTGATATCTTGGTCAGCACTGATCACCACCTATCAGCATATCAAAACAAAGCTCATTCTGAGAGAAGCACTATACTTGATGACACCCAGAAGGGGACAATCACTGTCACAACATAGAAGCTGCAAGTTGAAGACTTAGGAGTGTACTGGTGTGCACACTATACATGTCCTCATTTTTCTCAATTGAGATTAAGCTGTCCGTTTCCAAAAGTGAGTATTTCTTTTTTAGGAAAATGTGGACATTTTGTAGATTTCTGCCTCACTTTCTCTGCTTACCTTTTCAGTGTTTTGTATCACCTTCTCCCAGGTTACTAAGGAATAGCCATAGTAAGTCAGACCAAAGGTCTCCAACACTAGCTGAAGCAGATAATTAGGAGTCTAAAAACAGAGAAGCTCATAGAAACAGCTCTCCAGAATACTCTCCCAGCCTCCAGTGATTTTCTGGAGAGAATATTTTTGTTATAATAGCAATGGCTAAATTCTTTTTTTCTCTTTAATTCATCTACTCATTCTGCTGACACATAAAAACTTTTGGTATATAAACATCCTCTGGCAGTGAACTCCACACTCAATGCATGCATGGAGAATTTCCTTTTCTCCTAACTAGTGACTACCTTCTTATAACAGGCACTGAATTATTGCTCCCATTCTCTCTATCCCTGCTATTCGTGATTTTATAGACTTTTGTAATATCACCCCCATCATTTCCTTTCCAGGCAAAAAGTTGTTCTAGTAATTTCTTGTATGTAAGGTGCCTCAGATCTTTCTCTGTCTTGGCTGTTTTTCTCTGATCACCAACTCAGCTGATGAATTCAGAGCAGACTCCTGATGTTTCTGTTACGACAAGCTTTGCTTTGTTTGGGGATATGATTATAGTATTCTAAAGTTGCTTCAGGAGGACAGAATATTTTGGATATTATTTTATTTAGCATCCCAGTTCAATTTGACCCTCCTGTAGCTAAAATGTCTGTGAATTGGATTACAATATTGTGCTTATTCTAATTGTGGGAAACTGATGTAACTGGTCATTTTGTCTGGACCTTACTAACCAGTTCGACCTTTTACAGAAACCCAAGGATATGTAGCTAGGGAGATGCAGTCTCTCTGCTGAGTGCCCATACAACATACAAGATTACAAGGCTGTGTGGAAAGCCTGGTGCAAAAACACAATCGGGAAAGAGTGTGCTTTCTTGGTCAGTACAGAAAAGACGAGCAGTCAGTATAACACTCAAAAAGGAAGATACACCATAAATGAAGACACCCAGAAGGGAGTTCTCAGCCTCACCACAGAGAAGCTTACAGTACCAGACACTGGGGAGTACTGATGTGCTCTTTATGATGACTCTTGTCTCTTCTGAATAAAGGAAATTAAGCTGGCTGTTTTCATAAGTAAGTGCCTCTTTTTTTTTAAATTAGAGAGACTCCCTCCTTATTTTCCTTGCAGAAGAATTCACTTCCCAGGCTTGCTGCCTCACCTGCTCCACCTGATCTCTGCTCTCTGTACTCCGCAGTTCATTTTACCTACTAGGCTGCTCCTGTTCCCTCACCCTGTCATCTCCAGTTCCTGAATCATATGAGGGAACCAAAAGGACATGCAGAGCCAGGAAGCTGTGTTTAGATGTCCATTTTCACAGTGAGCCAAGAGTGAGTTGTGTCAGGAGCTGCTTTAAGTGGATTATTTCAATATTTGCATTGTTTTCTCTGTATTTAAAATGACTTCAGTTGTGCCTGTGGAGACATTACTGTGTAATGTGCAAAAGCCAAATGGTTCTGGTTTGGTTTCCACAGCTGGGCACTCTGGGGGTAGGCACTCTGAGGGCTCTGTGCACGGCAGAGCACAGGGCACAAGGGGACTGGCTGGGGTGGCAGAGACTGGGGATCCCAAATGGCTTGGGCCATGGGAGGGTCCATGCAGACACAGCCCTGGACTCATTGCCACCCTGACTTTGAGAAGACTTTCCAGCAAGGGCCTGGGCAGAGGACACCTTGGGACCCCAGAGAGAAGGGCTAGGCCAGGGCAAAGGACCTGCTCCATCTCCCATAGCTTGGGACAGGCAAACGAGTGCCCCACTGCCACTGGAATGAGGGCAGAGTGTGACAATGGCCAGGCGAGAGCAGCAAAGGGCCTTTGTCATCAGGATGGGCCGAGCTCTGCTCTCAGCCACTTCCCCAAATGCACTCCGAAATGATCTTAATATCAGTCTTGTAACAAAACATGGTGAAGGATTTCCGCCTGAGGCAAGACCTCAGGCACTTCCTCCAGCAGTGTCACTGTGATGCAGGAGGGCTCACAAGGCAGACACTTTTAAACAGGACACATTGGGCATCCCCCAGCAATGCCCCTTCCCTGGGCTTGAGGACGGCCATGGAGCTGAGAGCCCTCCTCCTGCTGCTGCTCTGCTTCCCAGGTAAGAGAAGGGCTGGGCATGCCTCGGGCTTCCCACACACCCAGGGGGAGTGGGACACCCTTTCCCACCTCCTGCTGCCTGGGGAGCTCCAGGGTGGGGGGGAATCCAACACCAGCAGGACTCTGAGCTGAGCAATTTCAGGGGTGGGGAGGGAAGGGGCAGTCCCAGTTCCCACCATCACACATCTGGCTCCTCCAGGCTCCCAGGACGAACCATCCTGGGAGCAGAGAGCTGTGGCCTCCAAAGCAGCCCCAGTGCCTCCCCCAGCTGGCATTTCCCATCACACTGCCCAGCCCCACTCGGCTCCTCCGATTGCAGTCCTGGGTCAGGACAGAGCTGTACAGGGGCACCCGCCTGCCTCCCCTGCCATCCCAGCAGAAAGCACAAAGCTTTCAGCATGTAGTAGGTTGGGAAATCAAGGCAGCCCTGCACCTAGCACAGCCTCGCAACCATGAGTCACTGGGCATCCTCCAATGATGCAGCATGGAGGAGCTGCAGGCTGCTGGGGGCAAGCTCAGGCCCAGCCACAGGTCAAGCATTTCATCCCCAGCGCACACAGTGCCCCAGCTCCTTCCCTTTGCCCCATCCCACCATTCTGTACAGATGGCCACCCAGCTCCTGAGGTGTGCTATGTGGGGAGAGGGTGGTCTCCATTTTGCCTGCGGCAAGAAGCAGTAACAACAGGGCTGGGCTGCTAGCGCAGCTCCAAACACTGCACCACAAACGGCTCCATTTAGGCTTGAAGGTCCAACACCTCTAGCACCCACATGTCTGTGGGTTTTAAATCAAAGATACTGGATTTTAAATCACAGCTGCAGTCCCAGCTCAAAGCTCAACACTGCCCACCAGAAATCAACCTTCCCATTTCCAAGCAGGTGAATTTAGCGGGGGGAATGGATCTTGGTTTTTGGAGTTCCTCCAGCCAGAAGTGCCCATGGGGGAAGGCTGGAGGCGGAGTTTGCCTGTGTCCATTAGAAGGCTGTGGGCAGCCCTCCATCAGCTCCCCTCTCCCTCACCACATCTGATATTTACAGCTCTCCAAGCCCAAACACCTCATGCTGAGGAAGGACTATCGGAAGGAAGCTCTCTCTCCATCCAGTGTCCTTACACAGCACAGACTGACTACCACCAGCAGAAAGCCTGGTGCCACGTGAGAGGTGGACAGTGTGAGCCCTTAGTGGAGACGACCTACCCAACACAATACCCACGCACAAACCGGGTCACAAACGGGAAAGTTACAATAGAGGACAACCCCATGTATGAGACCGTGTCCATCACTATGACTAACCTCCAGGTAGAAGACTCGGGCACTTACTTATGTGCTTACCGTTCCTACCATTACGACTATCTTCCACTCAAGATGATCTCACTGAATGTTTTCAAGGGTGAGTATCTTTTTCCCCACACAAACCCAGGTCTTGTCAGAAAGCAACATCATTCCTTCCCCCGCTCTGTCCCCGCTCTCCCGCATAGCTGAGCAGCTTCCCCCAACTCCCACAGCCCCACAGCCTTGCTTGCTGCCTTCCCCGCTCACATAGGCATGTTGTGAAGGAGTCCCACAGACCTGGCTGGCCCTGCAGGCTGTTGGCTCTCTCTTGTCCTGCCCTACCTCACCCCTGCCCTGACTGATGGGCTGTCCATGAGGGAGTTGCCCCAGGGAAGAGTTTGGCCCAGGTGCCCAGCTCAGGCTGGGAGGCGGATGCCCGTGTGCCCACCACTTACGGGTCAGTGACCACACTTGCTATTTTGCAGAGCTGCACAAGTGGGAGTTGGACAGTCTCTCTGTGCAGTGCAAATACAGTGGCTTGGTGCACAGCACAGACAGAAAAGCCTGGTGTCGGAGAGGTCGGACTGGGTGTGAAATCTGGTTGATAACAGATAACCTTTCAACATGGACTAAGAGCAAAGACCTGGAAGACAAAACCTTGATCCAGGATGATGCCCAGAAAAGGACTGTCACCATCACCATGAAGAAGCTGCAAGCCCAGGATGCTGGCGTGTACTGGTGTGTGCTCTACAGAGGCTCTTCTCCCACCCAGAAAATGGAGATCAGGCTCTCTGTGTCCAAGAGTGAGTACCTACTGGCAGCCAAGTGTGGATTTATGCAGATTTCAGCCCCACCTTCCCTGCTTGTTCTCCCTCCTGTCCTGCACCACACCACCGAGGAGCTCAGTGCTGCCACCGCACAGCTGACACCCATATCTCCCTGCCTGCCTGTCTCTAGTGGACACACTGGCGGCTGCCCCTTGGGCCTGTGGAGCCAAAGCTTAAGCCTGGCCTTTCATGCTCTGTCTGCTCCTGGCAGAGACTCAGGGGAGGTCCCTATGAGCTCCCACAAACGGGGCCACTCTTCACAACTGCTTCCCACTGGGCCGATCCAGTGGCTCCAGGAGCAGCTTCCCCAGCTCAGCACTTGGCTTGCCCATGCTGGGCACTGCTGGGGACCTCCCACCACTGCCAGGGATTGCTCTTGCTCTAGCCCCGCAGCTGCCAGCCCTCCCCAGTCCTTGCCTCCCAGAACCTACAGGCTGAGTGCCTGTGAGCATGCAGTCCCTGGGGGAATCAAAGGAAGGGGACAGGACACCCACCCAATTTGTGACTCACCTCTGCATGAGTAATCCGGGTCCAGCCCCCTTCTGCTCCTCATGCCTGGGGATAGGAGATCCAGGGAGCATGCAGCCCACAGCATGTATTCCAGTGATGGGGAAGGGGTGCAATTGTGCCTGCTTTGGGATCTCACCAAACATGCCGGGTGTTTTCCAGGGACCCAACAATACACACCCAAGGAGTCAGACAATGTCTCTGTCCAGTGTCCGTACAGCGCCTCATACTATGGGGCTGTGAGCAAAGCCTGGTGCAAAGAGGGAGCTAGGGGAGCATGTACCATACTAGTCACCACGGATTTGAAGCTGTCAGGATACCGGAAGAAAATTCAGCAAGGCAGATTCACGATCCAGGATGACACCCAGCAGGGGATGGTCACTGTCACCATGGAGAAGCTGCAGGTGCAGGACTCTGGCGTGTACTGGTGTGCACTTTATGAACACGGCCAGCTTCTCCGAATGGTGGAGGTTACGCTCACTGTTTCTGAGGGTGAGTACTGACCTGTAGGGAAACATAGTTGGTTGTAGATTCCAGACTCACTTTCCTACTCTCTCCCTCTAGTCTCTGCCCTGCCCAGCTTACACCATCTTCCGCGTTACATCTGGATGCGTTTCCCTCCCAAACCCTACATCATTGTACGTTCTCACACTATGGTATTCAATGGTATGGAATAGCAGCAGGGATCAGAACTGAACCATGCGCATGTGCTCTGCTGCTTCTCCTTTACCTGAGAGCAGCTTCAGTCGTCTTCACAGAGGTGTTTCTCATTCTCAGGATAGCAGTTCTGCCCCTTTATAGCAACTCATCCCTTGGCTTTCAAAAACTATTAAGACCTTCACTTTTGGTTGCCAAGGGGACAACCTTTAGACCCATATTTTAAAGATCTGTGACTTCTAGGTTTTCTTTCGGCATGATAAGGGATAACAGTAAGGGATAACCTTTAGGCACCTGATTGTGGCAGACCAGCACCATGCTGCAGCCTGTCTTTCAGGAATGTGGCAGACCAGCACTGAAGGGATACGGCAATCCAGAAGATGAGAGGGAATGGCATAATTCTCTAGGTGAAAATCCTAACATGTAGGACTGAATGCAGTCTCTAAGCAAGCAGGCTCCTGCACACACAACCTCCCCTGGGCACAGACACAGTCCTGTACAGCTGAGTCTTTCACAGGCAATGCTCTTTGCTTAGTTTTCGCAAGCTTCTGTCTGCTTAAGCACAGAGTCATTAAGTACTTCATTGCTACCTGAAGATCTTTGCCATAAAACATATCTGCTTGCACTTACAGCACTTCCTTCTGCCATGCACTGGGGTGGGTACACACAGAGTGGGGCTCCTGCTGAGCTCCTTGCCCCTCAGTCCCACATTTTGATCCTTACATTGCTTTGCTTGCTGCCAGCAAGTCTTGATGACACAGGTTACAGCCTGGGCAGCTTGTCTGTGTTGGGTGTCACAGCGGGCATGGATTTATATCCATGTAGCAATGGCGGGGAAATTTAGCTGGTAAATACAAAGCAGCCAAGTAGTGATTATTCTTCGTGTTCATGATTGCAGTATTGGCTGGAACAACTTTGTCAGGTACTGCAAGCACCAGTCAAGCAACCCCTTCCAGCAACACCCCAGCACCGAGGTAAGGCCTAAAGAAGTCTCTGAGCTTGAACACAGACAAGAGTTACTAATGTCTTGTCCACAATATGCCTGTCTTCCTGGGGTAAGCAGGTTCTGGGCATTCTGAAGACTCCTGCTTAGAGAGGAATTAGATACGACAGGCACCCTTACCAAAGATGGCCTCTTGTCGTGGTTTAACTGCAGCCAGCAACTAAGCCCCACACAGCTGCTTGCTTACTCCCCCCCCGCTGAGATAGGGGAGAGAATCAGAAGGGTAAAAGTGAGAAAACTTATGGGTTGAGATAAAGACAGTTTAATAACTAAAGCAGAAGCCACGCACACAAGCAAAGCAAAATAAAGAATTCATTCACTACTTCCTATCGGCAAGCAGGTATTCAGCCATCTCCAGGAAAGCAGGGCTCCATCACATGTAATGGTTACTTGGGAAGACAAACACCATCACTCCGAATGTCCTCCCCTTCCTTCTTCCCCCAGCTTTATATGCTGAGCACGATGTGATATTGTCTGGAATATCCCTTTGGTCACCTGGGGTCAGCTGTCCCAGCTGCACGCCTCCCAACTTCTTATGCACCCCCAGCCTACTCCCTGGCAGGATGGTGTAAGAAGCAGAAAAGGCCTTGACTCTGTGTAAGCACTGCTCAGCAGTAACGAAAACATCTCTGCATTATCAACACTGTTTTCAGCACAAATCTAAAACATAGCCCCATACAAGCTACTGTGAAGAAAATTAACTCTATCCCAGCCGAAACCAGCACACCTCTCCTCTTCCAGCTCCTGCCCAGAGTGTAATTACAAAGGAAGAAGCAGATTGGTAAAATCAAGTCACAGTTCCCTGGAATGTAGATGCCTATCTACATTTTTATCCTTATCTCTTTGGGCTGTGCTCTTTGGAGCAACAGAAACCCCCAGATTCTGCCCCTAAGCCTTTCTGTCTTGATTTTGCTCACTCCTGTCCACGAATATTTAACAATGAAATAGTCCTTGGCTGCTATTTTATCCCTCTATTTACCAGGCTGTTAAATGTAAAGGATTTTCTTCCCCTTTGGACATCTGCTGTCATCAACACTACAGCAGCACCTAAGAGTACAATCACACATCAGCTCCAGTGCGCCAGGTGCAGCAAAACACAGGAGGAAAACGCAATACCTGCTCCAGAGAGCCTGGAATTGTTTGAACAGTGGCTTGTTTTTAAAGCCTGGAGAGTAGTTTAGGAAAAGGTCAGAAGGCACAGCCAGGTAGAAAAATCAAGATAGCATTGCTACAGGAGAACCAGACCCTCCTACCAAGTGCATAAAAGCTAGTGCATAAAAGCTATTCCTGTCCCTTTTTTTGGTCACTGTTTGGTAATGGGCTGCACCAGCATCATGCTGTGCTGCCATCTAACACTGGTAACTCCTTTGCCCTCCTGGTTTCAGCTCAAATGTAAATAACTTCATCCTACTGTCTGGGGTCCTGAGCATTCTGTTCATCCTGGCACTCACCAGCTTGATAACACTATGCATCAAGCGGCACAAGCAGCTGAAGAGAAGAGGTATGTGGAGACTGGTGATGCCTCATGTTCTAGTCTGTATTAAACAGGGCCTTATCTGGCCATCACTTTTTCACTCCAGGCGAGCTTATTCCCAACTCACAGTGCCCTGGAGAAGATAAGGCAGTTGAAGCCTGCGAAGCCTTAAGGCAGGCTCCTTGCTGTGATCTCCTCTCACAATAAGTCAAACCCATGTTCCTCCAGACTCTGCACAGGACACCTCCTAACATGTTAGAGGACAAGTGAAGGGAGAGCAATGTCTTCACCAGATTTAGGGTAGATGGGTCCCACTGGCACACCCATTGCTTCTATCACTGGGCAATCCCACAGCCTTCCCCAAAACTCCCTGAAGCATAGGCAATGCCCAGGCATTTCATGGACTTCTCGACTTCTAAAACCTCTGATTTTGGCTCATTCCAAAGGTAACAGACAAGCAGAGGACATCTATGACAAACCAGAGGGCATAGGACAGGTAAGAAAAATGATAGATTTCCCATGCGGTACTGAATCCCTTACCAATAGTCTGTGATGAGCTGGCTGACCCATCTGATGAGGACCTTGGTGCTCATTTTCGGTTGTGAGCAGGAGGGGAGACGGTATTTAATGTCATCAGAGAGAGGAATGTTCCTAGCTGGAGAGAGATGGGGGGTAATTAGTGTAAGGAAACTCCAGTAGGAAAAAAATACAGTGGAGCAAATTCTAGTAATCTCTGAGAAATGACTCAAAGACTAGAAACCGAGGTTAGATGATGAGGTTGTAACCTCTATCAAGGAGAAGTTATGAAAGAAAGTTTTCTGTTCTTTCACCTCTGTCATTACTGAAGGTAAGTTCTTACATGGCTTCTCCCTTCCTCCTGGGAAAATCTTGTTCTTCTGATAACAGCTGTGACCTGGCACTGAATCATGCTAACAAGTGTTTTCCCTTTCTTTTCATAGCTTGACAGCACTGAAAGAATGGAAAGTCCCAAGGATGACAGCAAAGATGTAAAATACATTACCCTGAACTTTAAATCCCGACTCAGCCCTGAGGATCCTCTCTACTGTAATGTTGAACCAAGCCAGGCTCACAGGAAACCCAAAGATGAAAATGTGGAGTATGCTACCATTGCACTCAAGCAGTTACCAACAAATGACAAAGGATGAAGCACAGAATCCCCAAACAATCCAGAAATGGGGGAAAAGAACTGGAATACAAAGTGGGAATGAGAAGTAGAAGGTGTGTAGATCGACACTAGGGAAAAATATAAGTTTTTGCTGCCATGTGTATGTTGCCTGTGCATTTTAAGACCTCCCTCCTATCAGAGGCCTGTAGAGAATTTTGCCGCAAGTGTGCAGATTCTCTCGGGTCAGACAGAAGTGCTGAGTAATTCTCAGGATCCCTTGCACATCTGCTTTCTTCAATTCCATTAAAATGCAGACTCTTTTGGAGAGGCAGGTGTGGAAGACTGACCTTTTGAAAAAGAGCAATATTTGTCTGGAAATGGATGGGTTTGGTATTTCAACTGTCTTCCCTGGTAGAAACTCTATCCCACTCCTAAGGGTTCAGCTACTATGGCCAAGCAAACTCATTACAGTTCTGTAGGGATAAAACTCTAACCTTGCTGTGCCCAGGTTCATTTGCCATGTAATGCGTGGGGGATATGAGCACTGGATTATAAGAATAAGCAGAACCAGCATCTACCTTAAGGCAAATAGCTTGAGAGTGTATTGCAACATGATGATATGCTGCATTGCAAACTTTGCAGACTGAGGATTGTGCTATATGAATCTAAGCACCAGAAGGTCTTGTAGCTACAAAACAACAATGGTGCATATAAGTAATACATACACTTTTTGAGACTTAATGCAAATTCCCCTATAACCTAAATTTATCAGTCTACTTAGGTAAGAAGTAAGATGGTAAGAGGCTTTCAAACTAAAGCTAAATGTTTAGCTTTAGATCAAGAAATAGAGTGTGCGCAGTGGAATTTCCCTTGTGCAGACTGCCCCACCCTTTCACCACCTCCTAATCAAAGGCCCTTACTTTGTTCAAAAACTTCTGGCTAGCCTGCTGCCTTACACCCTCTGCTCCCCAAGAACACACAAACTGGCTGCTTAAACCAAGGCAGTGTGGAATCAGGACAAGCAGGGAGAACCAAAAATGAGTATTTCTGGAGAAAGGAAAGAAGACAACAACATTTGGTATTGGACTAGAGGAGTGGACAGGGCACTGGGATGTTTTTGAGCAGAATTTGCCTTGCTGTGCTAACTGCAGGCATGAGCCCTGAGACAGACATGAGGAAGGTCTGTACTGACAGTAGCACAGAGCAAGAAACTGGTGGGCTGTGCAAAGAAATTGCAGTAAGTATGACACAGACAACAGCGGAAGAAGTATGGGCATAAGAGGGCTGGTCTCAACATCAGATGATGTAACAGAAGGGACACAATGGTAATTAAGAGTGGATTACTTACAGATGTAAATGTCCAAGTAAGTCAGACACGCAATATATTTATAGATCTCCAGTGCAGCTCTGATGCATGCTAGCAATTTCCAAGAGCTGCCACAGGAACACTGGACTGGCTGGGACCTCATCAAACCCTGCTATCCCGAATAATCACACCATAAACTATCAATCAAACATGTTTTTGCAATGCACTCGGTCTCTCGCCTTCATTGTTATGAGGCATCTTCGCATCTCTGCAGCAATCACTATCTAGCCAGTCTCAGATGTAGCTCTGTTCTTTTGCAGCATTGTGCTATACTTTAAACAGCTCTTCCCAGCCTATTTCACCACTGCAGCTGCTTGTTTGGAAGACCAATACAAACCAGTACTTCCAGCACTTTCTATTTTTCTGGCTACACCATAGAAAGCAATCTTTTGCGGCTTCTTCTAAAGTCACAGGAGACTAGAAATGCATGTGCGGTTTCATGGGAGAGCTCACCAGGGCCTTGGAAAGCAATACCGTTACTTCCCTCTCTCTGCTGGAAATACTCCAAATGACACATTTGTGGCCTTTATTTAGCAGTCATGTGGTGAGGAATATGAAATGAGTTTGCTGGGGCTCAGCTCAATTTCTGCAAAAGACCAGAAACCCTTGCACTTTATTTGGCTGCACCAAGCTCTGCTGACAGGTGGCAAATTAAAAGGGCCTGAACCGCTCCCTAATTCACAAGCCAGTCACATCCAATAAGCTTTTCTTGTTATGGCTGCAGCAGGGAAGCTGATCTACTTTTTGAGATTTTCAGAGTTGACACGTTTAACTTGAAATGACAGAAAGAAAAAGAAAATGGTTCTGGAAATGCTTCATTCAGCCCAAAATTTGCCTATTTGCTATTCATGCAGTCAGTTACACTGGGTCAAACAGTGGAAGAGTAATAGTAGAAAACAATCGAGTGGAAAAGAGACATTTTCAGGGAGGCAGTTGCTTCTGATCAAAGAGAATCCACATTTGTGCTCACTGGAGCAAGAATGAGCAAAAACTGCAATCAGTAAGCCTCACAGAGAATTTTTGGATACTACAAGGTACCATTTTCTTAAACACTAATCAGAGGAAAGAAAAAGAAGGCACATTTATGAATGGACAGACCTGCAGGTTTATCTGCCTGTTAAGAAGGAGATAAGCACACAATTTAAGAAGCCAGGGTCTATTGGCACTTGCATGGAAGATCTCCAAGTAAATAAATTCAAAAAAGAAAAAACAGTAACCCATCCACAGCATAGCAGTTTGCTAACACCTAAGGAGGCTCCCGTAACTGCAGCCCTGAACTACTGCATCAGTATGGCACTGATGGGCTCTGAATCAATGCCCCCTTGATCTTACGTCCTTTCTGCTAGGTACAAAATAAAGATGTCTGTTTTGCTCATCTAAAGCACCTCACAGCTTCACCCAACACAGTGTTCTTGCCTTCCTGTCTTCGGTTTTATGTCAAATAGGAATGCTTCATGCGCAGGCTCTTCTAAATCTTCCTTCTCCTGTAAATAACCCACAAGATTATGTCCTTGCCCTCCTTTCACCCTCGTGATGCTGACTGAGCTACCTGCAGAGTCTCGATGAGAGCCACCCTTTCCCTTTCGGCTTTCCAGAAATTCACCCCATGCAAAGCTTGCAAGTAAAGCACCACTGCTGAACTCAGAGAGACTCCCAGTACCATAGTTTCAGGCCATCACATGATGCTCTCTTTCAGGCTGTCTAGACTAAATCGTGGCTGTGAGTGGGCAATGCTGATGCCTGAATTTTCAGCCCACGGAAGAAATGCCTGCTGAATTGCTCAATATGCAAGATGAAAAAGATGCCAAGTTCTTGTGCTCATTCCTTCCGGCAGAGCAAGGAGGGGGAAAAGCAAGCTGCTCTTGGGCAAGAGCCCTTTTCACTTTTCTGCAGATTCCTCTCTTGTCCCCTTTGCTGCTCGACTGACATGGAGAAGCTCGTGCACCTCATATTCTTGGTCTTCTTGTCAGGTAAGCATACATGGCCTTGGGTTTCAGTTAACAGATAGGGTAAAGGACTGGTGCAAAATTTAGTCTCTACCTGCACCTCATATGAGATTACTGATAAAGCTATGGGGAAAGACTGCACAGGTCTTGAAACACACTAGATTTTTCCAGATGCAAAGGCATCTTCATTGTAGCATGCAGTTCTTTGGAAGATCAATACAAACACTTACTACGGATTAAGAGTCTTACTGCCTGTCTGTACACTGCAAAGTCCAATGCAATGCAAGCAGAGGGAACCTGGAGCACTGCAGTGTGTTCTGCACTCTACTCTTCCTCCCCAATTACACTGCAGGGGTGGCAGACTCCTTCCTCAGAATTCGCTCTTGTCCCTTAATTTAACAAAGAGCCAGCGGTGATCCAAGTGCTCAGCTTTTCTCATAGGGATCCTTTTGAGTCAGAACAGGAAATGCTGTTGACAGAAGTCTTGTGTGCCTGCTCAGAGTGAAATGTGAAATTGCAAAATCCTATTTGTTTGCATTTGTAGGGCTTTGAATGTAAGTTGCAGCAGCTAGGGTTCAAGAGGAAGAAAATAAAAAACTCAATGAAGGGGGTGTCTCTGAAATCTTGGGCACTTGACTGTTTTCAGCTTGGAAAGCAATGTTCATCTGAAATGAGAAACAAGGGACAGGACCCAGCTGGTACTCCCAGCTGGCAGCCTTCTCTTTCCAGCCACATTTTGGAGATCCCAGATACTTGCAGCAGTGCACAGAAAGGCAACAGATTCAGGCTTCAGGAGCATAAAAACCTGTCTCAAAAATCTGAATGAGTTTGGAAGAAAGTCCACTATACTTTTTTTCAGTAGGACACAAGGGAGGAGGAACGCAAATAGTAAATGATCTGTCAGCAGAACTGGTGGAAAAGATAATGACAGAAAGTTTTCCACAGGGGCATCAGCAAATCTTTAAATGCCATGATTCTGATCAAGAGATTTTTTGCAATGCTCTTTCCATTTAAAACAAAACCAAAAATCAAAACCCCTGGGCTGTTGCAGGAACCAAAGGGGCAGAACTGGAGGCAAGGAGGGATCCACAAGAGAAATAGGAGAGGGAGTTAAAATGTTTAGAGGGATTGCACAGGACTGGACTGGACATGCAGCGCAGTAAGCCTTAACTGGAACATCTGAGTGGAGCAACATATCAGGATGAAGAGTTGTATGTGTTGGATACTTGGAGAACACAGATCCGTTTTTATGCCGCCTTCTAGTCAAGCCTGAAAGATCTTCAGTTTTTTTAGTTTACAATTCTCTTAGAATGGTTGAAATTATTTTATGAAGTGTTATTAAAAGGCTCAGCCACCACAAAGTCCTCACAAGAGCCTATTTTTTAATTTATTTCTGTTTTACCATTACTTATGGTTTCATAAAAGGCACTAGCCTCTGAATTTTTTCACTAGAAATACAGAGATTTCCACAAACACCACACTGCACTTCTCTCTGGAAGTATTAATAGCTCAGACTGTCCCTTCTGCCTTTGCTTACCATGAAGAGGAATGGAAATTAGAAATAAGGAACTAAGGCAAAAAAAAAAAAAAAGCCAAGCAGCCAAAGACCAGTGGTCAACATGATTAAAATTAGTAGGATATTAAAAGATAGGGTGAAAAAAATTGCTAAGAGCCTGGACTTGGAAATTAGGAGTGGGATTAAGAAGTAACCTCCTAAACAGCTAGCTGGACACTGGTTTGTAAGCATCACTGTGATTCTAGTATTTTCCAGGGTTGTGTTGCTTCTCTCTGGCTGTGTAAAGAGCCTTAAAACGGGGATAAACTTCATGGGCATTTACTGCAAAGGACCTTTTCCGCAGCAGCGGGTACTCCAGAGCCAAATCTGCATCTATGAACATACTTGGAAGGGCTGACCTCAAGGCCAAAACCCGAAGCAAGCTGCCTTGCTGCAGCTGTATGCAAGTAAGCAGGCTGA